CAGGCACTCAAGCAGATGCCGAACTCTCGGGAGAAATCTTCATGGCCGTGACGCGGTGTTCGCGGAACCAGGTTTAGTGTGTCCTGGGGTCCTTTCCTAAATGAAGGTGGCGGAAATCATTTCGTTTTAGAACGCCGATGAAACATGCCTAACCGAAACACCAGTACACAAGTCTGCGGCCGAAGAAGAGCAGATTCTCAGTAACTTAGAACTCATAACAATGGGTTAAAGACGCGCCCTAGATTCGAGTGCAAAGCCAGTCAGTCACGCGCCAGGAATCTCAAATCAAAAAGGCTTAAAAAGCTACGTGTACCACAGCTCGTGACTTTCCTCAACCAACTACAGTAACTTACTTTATGAAAAGGAACTGAATTAAATTGAACAGAGCTCTTTTACGATTAGGTGGGTGGCTCTGAAAAAAAGAGCCTGAGTCAAGCAGCCGGCGGCTCGTAGGAGCGCCGCGTCCCAGCAGGGACTCACTTAAGCAGCCGGCGGCTCGTAGGAGCGCCGCGTCCCAGCAGGGACTCACTTGGAGCTGGTGTACTTGGTGACGGCCTTGGTGCCCTCGGACACGGCGTGCTTGGCCAGCTCGCCCGGCAGCAGCAGGCGCACGGCCGTCTGGATCTCCCGGGACGTGATGGTTGAGCGCTTGTTGTAATGAGCCAAACGAGACGCCTCACCCGCGATGCGCTCGAAGATGTCATTAACAAAGGAGTTCATGATGCCCATGGCCTTGGACGAGATGCCCGTGTCGGGGTGCACCTGCTTGAGCACCTTGTACACGTAGATGGAATAGCTCTCTTTACGGCTGCGCTTGCGCTTCTTGCCATCCTTCTTCTGGGCTTTGGTGACCGCTTTCTTGGAGCCCTTTTTGGGCGCGGGAGCGGACTTTGCTGGCTCAGGCATTGTAGAACACACAACAAGGGTTAGCAAGAAAAAGAAGTAGATAATGGGCGGGCCTAACTCTTTTATAACCACTGTATGCAAATTAGGGCTCCAGAAGTCTTTCGTTTCCATTGGGCCATGCAGGACCTTGCGTTTCGAGTAATAGCTATGCGACAACACTGACTCATGACTTTATTGGTTGTTTCTGGAGCCAATTTAGAACCAATGAAAAACTCCTTTCTGACCCCACCCCCAGGAAAGCTTATAAAGGCTTTCCAATCGCTGATCTTTCGATCCCCTTTCCGTGCGAGGTTCTAAGCTTTTGGAGTGTCACCTTCATTTTTAATCATGTCTGGTCGCGGAAAACAGGGAGGCAAAGCTCGTGCCAAGGCCAAGTCGCGCTCGTCCCGGGCTGGCCTCCAGTTTCCCGTGGGCCGAGTGCACCGCCTGCTGCGCAAAGGTAACTACGCCGAGCGGGTGGGGGCCGGCGCGCCCGTCTACATGGCGGCCGTGCTCGAGTACCTGACGGCGGAGATCCTGGAGCTGGCGGGCAACGCCGCCCGAGACAACAAGAAGACGCGCATCATCCCTCGTCACCTGCAGCTGGCCATCCGCAACGACGAGGAGCTGAACAAGCTGCTGGGCAAAGTCACCATCGCCCAGGGCGGTGTTTTGCCCAACATCCAGGCCGTTTTATTACCAAAGAAGACCGAAAGCCACAAAGCCAAAAGCAAGTAAATTGACAAGCCAAAGACCAAAGGCTCTTTTTAGAGCCACCCAAATTTTCAAGAAAAGAGCTAGCGCTATTTTGGTCAGCCCTTTACACGCTTTGGTGGCTCTTAAAGAAGCCTCCTGGGTGAGGGATGGTGTCAAGCCTCTCAATTACCTGTTTTTGTTAAGATTATAACTCCGTTTTCTTAGGCAACAAAACTGCCTGGGTGTTGGGCAAGGCGCCGCCCTGGGTAATGGCGACGCCCCCCGAGTAACTTGAGCTGTATGCCCCCCGGCCTGGCGATCCAGGCCTGTGACTTAAGGACATGACCCCCCAAGTCCGGTGTATTATGTAAGACTCTAGTGCGCCTGCGCCCAGGTTCTGTAGGCATGAATCAGCTTGCTTTACCCTGCACCTGTGGCCGGTCGCCACTATTGTTCTTTCTCCGTATAAGCCCGTGCTGTCTCAAAGGCTTGCAGTCGCATTCTCAGTTCGGCTCGTGTTTTCCCATTGGGCGTCTCGCCGCCGAAACCTTCCCTCCTTGACCAGCTTGGCGGTGACAATGCCCGTCTTCTAGTCTCGGGCAACGTTACCTGCCAGCTCTAAGATTCCCGCGGTTAAGTACTCGAGCACCGCAGCCAGGTACACCCGCGCGCCTGGCCCACCTGCTCGGTGTAGCTGCCTTTGCGCAGCAGGCGGTGCACTCGCCCCATTGGGATCTACGGGCCAGTGCCAGATGAGCATGATTTGGCCTTGGTGCGAGATTTGCCTCTCTGCTTACCGCGTCCTGACAGCACGGCTGAAAAAGCGATTACAACTTGTTTAACAAGAAGGATATGGAAAGAATAACCAATTTGGTGTGACTTATAAGAGCTAACCGGGAGGGGGTGAAAGAAAATAGTTTGATTGGCTAAAAGAGGAGCCCGATCAAAGAGCCAATAGGAAATCAGAAAGCAGAGTCCTCGTTTGCATCCGGTACTACCAGGAAATGACGGATTTCGTAGATACCAATCGCCGAGAGCCACTAATTAAAGTCTCTTATCTGCATGCCAGGATTTTTAAAGAGAGGAGGCTTTCCAACAGAGCGCTGTTTTGTTCTGTTTTACAGAGTGGCACTTTTTTTCCCAATTAAGGGTGGTAATTGTTTTTCCAAATTAGAGCTGGAAGGGGAAATCCTAAGAAGGACCCGAAGGAACTGCGGGAGCCCTCAGCAGGTGCCGTTACTCTCAATGAAGAGTGCGGGATACTAAGGCCGATTATCCCCTTGCGCCCTAAATTACCCTCCAAGTCTCGCCCTTTCTGCCTCATTACAGCCAAACTCCCCTAGAGAATATATACCTCTAAGGCCGCCTCCTGTCTTCTCAATTTAGTCGCTGCCTGCAGTATGGCTTCGCCCCACCCTCACTAGCCTTGCCTCCGCGGAATCTGGTGTAACAGGGTTACAATAGAATTGTCTTCCTTCTCTTGACCTCCAGGAGGCGTCCGATGCCGCCCTGAAACGCTCCCTTGGCTTTCAAAATTTCCTCCGACTTTCCTTGTCTTGTTCCTATTTCTCTGCCCATCCCTAAATACGTGTGTCCATTGGGCTCTGCTTCCCTCCCCACCCTTTCCATTCTTCACTCTTCCCGAAGAGTCTTCACCCCTCCATGCTTTCAACTAACATTCAAATTTGTTTCAGATCAGATAAGACAGCATAGGGACTTGGGCCCGGCAGCCGAAGGAATGCCAGATGGCCAGGAGGAACGCCACCATCCCATCGCTCCCTACACAAAAAATGCAGAAGTAGCCGATTTCATCTCCTAATCTCTTCCTTGCAGATGTGGGAACCACTGTTCCGCATGCGCAGTTGATCAAGGTTCGCCCGCTATACGACCTTCCGGCAGTGGCGGTGCCGAGCAGTCCGCCATCTTGCCCCACTGCACGGGCGCGAACGCAGTTACGAGGCAACTGCAGCCACGCCCCTCCCTGAAATGGAAGATTCCGGAAGCCCGCGGTTTTTCAAAGGCAGCTTATAGAGGAAGCGAAACAACCCGCTCTCGAATCAATTCAGAGGACCTTCTCTTTTTCTGTGCCGATTCGTTTGGGGTTCGAGCAAAAGCATAATAAAATTTAGTTCTTCCGGGTTTTTCTCTCAGTCTCTCCTTTGAGGTACCCAAGTAGCCCAGCGCTGGTAGCATTTCGGGGCGACTAGGAAGGGGCCTTTTGTGTGCCTACATCAGCGAGACAGCGCGGGGAAGAGCCCCGTCGGCCTCATCCTCAGACGAGCGGCTGCCTGAACCTTTGATTCGGCCTCGGACTGGTGAGTCCGCCTCCGGCCGGCCGCTCCCTCCTCCCGCCCAGACATCTTATTTTCTGTCCCTTGAAGACTCCCGTGAAAGGATAAGTCAGTCACAGAACAGGGTAGATTCGCACTACTAACTAGGAACCCTGTGAAACCACTCCCTACCTCCACCCCTGCGGCTCACCTGTTGCAGGCTTGAGACCTCTACCCTATTGTCTGACCGGTCTTTGTCCGTCCTTCCTACTTTGGGCGCCATCTTGGCTACCTGTTGGGTCCCTCTCTCTAATTCTCTCCAGTGTTTCTCCCGTCTTCTCTCTAACCTGGGGCCTGAAAAGTCTACGGACTTTTCTGTCGACTCTCTTCTCGTACCTGTGTCCCTGTGAATTCTCGCTGAATCTTTGAGTCCCGGTTCCCTTCAACCTGGACTCAAAACATCTGGCTTAACCAGGAAGATCTTTGTCCCCTGAATGTCTTATCAAACGTATGACCCGCTGTCATTTTATACAGATCAAAGGCGGATTAGAGGTTAGCCGAACCTGAACTTGGTATAAGGTTGGAGATATTGAAGGTTTTTGTTTTTGTTTTGTATTCCTTACACAGGCCTCGGTCTCCTAGCTCCCCCGGCTCTCACTCTTCCGGATCGGTCCACCAGCACTATTTCCTTAAGGACGCTTGAAGCCGAGCACTCCATCCAGCTCTCAGCCCCGGATCCTTGGTCACTGACTCTATCATGGGAAACACTCCAGGCGTCCCAAAAGATTCTCCCCTGGGTTGCATCCTTGCTAATTGGAAAAAATTTAAGTCAGGCAATCTAAAGAAAAAGAAATTAGTTTTCTTTTGTAATGTTTCCTGGCCTCAGTATCCTCTTGGGGACCAATACAAATGGCCTGAGAATGGTTCTTTAAATCTTAATACCGTTCTCCAGCTGGACCTCTTTTGTAAACGCTTCAGCAAATGTCTGGAAATTCCCTATGTTGAGGCTTTTATGAAACTGTGCCAGGACCCAAAGCTCCGAAATTCTTGCCAGGCCTACTTGGCCTCACACTGGAAGAAACCTGACTCCGCCGCCCCAGCCGCTTCAAATTCCGACCCCTTTGACCCTATTCTTTTAACCCCTCCCAATCTGTCTCCCGCGGCCCTCCTCGACCCCTTGCCTCCCCGCCAACCTGTCCCGTGTGCTGAGCCTCTCCCATGTCTCCCTGCTCCTAACCCCTCTGCCCCCTCGACTCAAAACCCTTCTCCCGCAGCTCCATCCACCGCTAGAACCCAATCCGGACTTCTTCGGCCTCCTCCCGGAACTCCCCCTTCTTTTCCTCCTCCCCCTCCTCCTGCACATAGTCTCTCTCCTGCAAATAGCTGTTTGCATCGTGAAGAAGTTGCTGACGAAAACGGAGAAATCGCTCGAGTTCACAAACCTTTTTCCCTCACAGACTTGAACCAATGCAAGAAGAGATTTGGAAGCTTCTCAGAGGACCCAGATAGGTTTCGGGATGAATTTGCAAAGCTTAGTTTAACTTTTACCCTGACTTGGCAAGACGTCCTGGCCGTTCTAACCCACTGCTGCACCCTGGAAGAGAAGGCCCTTATTTGGGGGAAGGCCAGAGAGTATGCTGATAGCTTAGTGGCCACTACCCCCCAACATGAGGTGATCAGAGTCGCGAGGGAAGCGATCCCAGACCAAAACTTCCAATGGGACTACAGGGATCACCTTGGTCAGATGAGTGTGGAACATCTTATTACCTGTGTATCAGAGGGCATGAAGAGGTGCCAAGTTAAGATGTTAAATTATGAAAAAGTTTGGGAGATCACCCAGGAGAAGGAGGAAAACCCTGCCCTTTTCCTAAACCGGCTTTCAGAAGCCCTTAGAAAGTATACTAACATTAACCCTGAGTCAGAAGGTGGAAGAATTTTATTGACCCTTCACTTTAGGTTCCAGGCTGCTCCAGATATTCAGAGGAAACTTGAAAAATTAGAACTAAGATACCAGACTCCACAGTCAATCTTGGTGGAGGCCTTCAAGGTATTTAATAATCGAGATCAGGCAGAGGAAGCAAAGAAATATAGGAGATTTAAAAAGGAAACTCAGCCTTTGGCTTCCCTAATCAGACCGCCACTGCAAGAATACCCTACACCCAGGAGACCAGCCAAAGATAACCACCAAGGGTGGTCCAGGGTAGGACCAAACCAATGTGCTTATTGCAAAAGGGAAGGACACTGGAAACGAGACTGCCTAAAAAAGAGGAGGCGAGAAAACAGGGAATGCTTTGATCACTCCAGGAAGCTGGGGCCGGTGGACAACCCCTCAGACAAGGGGATGACCTCTGATTGGCAAGGCCCTAATGCCGCAGCTCCGACTCTTGGGAACTTGATCACCATCACACCTGCAGAGCCTCGGGTCACTCTTGACATGGCAGGTAGGAAAGCTGATTTTTTGCTAGATACTGGAGCTGCCTACTCTGTCCCGACTCCACTGGTTGGCCCCCTCTCCAATCATGACTGCACCATAACAAGGATAGACGGGAAGCCTGAGGTAAGACAACCTACTTTTCCTCTTACTTGTGATACTGGATCTAAAACTGTGAATCACTCTTTTCTTTATGTCCATGAGTGTTCATTTCCCCTTATTGGTGGAGACTTAATAACCAAATTAGGAGCCTCCATATTTCTTCAGGAAGATGTCCAAGTCTCAGTAGAGCCAGAACAGGGATTCCATATATTTTCCCTCCAGACTTCCCCCAAACTGGAGCCTTCCACACTTCCGGACGATATTAGAGACCAAGTCAAGGCTACTGTGTGGGATACCAGTACCCCTGGGCGTGCCATAAATGCAGAACCTGTGAAAATAGAATTGAAACCTGGAGCAGAATACCCATGTCAGCATCAATACCCCTTAAGAGCTGAGGCCTTGGTGGTCATTCAACCCCTTCTAGAGAAACTCATTAAACATGGATTAATTAGACCTTGCCACTCTCCCTGCAATACCCCGGTCCTCCTGGTAAAGAAGCCCAATGGAGAAAACCACTTTGTCCATGATCTCCGGGCAGTTAATAAGGTAGTAGTCCCTGTTCACCCAGCAGTCCCCAACCCCTATACAATCCTCACTCAGATTCCTGGGGAGACCCAGTACTATACTGTACTGAACTTGGAAGATGCTTTCTTCTGCATCCCCTTACACCCAGACTCCCAATATTTGTTTGCTTTTGAATGGAAAAATCCTGAGACTCACAAGGTCACCCAGTACACCTGGACAGTATTACCCCCAGGGTTCCGGGATAGCCCCCATCTCTTTAGAAATGCCTTTGCTAAGGACCTCAGGGAGCTTAAACTTAAAAATGGAATGATGTTACAGTATGTAAATAATTTACTCATTGCCAGTACCAACTATCAAGACTCCCAACATAATACTATAGTGACCCTAAATTTTTTAGCTGAGCGGGGATATAAGGTATCTCCCTCAAAGGCCCAGATTTACCTACAAAAGGTCCAATATCTAGGGTTTGTCCTCACTCCAGGAGCCCAGTGGCTGGCCCCAGATCGCAAAAAGGCAATCACCTCATTTCCAGTTCCTACCACCAAAAAAGAACTGCGCAGCTTCCTAGGGACGGTGGAGTTTTGCCGGATCTGGATCCCAAACTTTGGGCTAATAGCAAAGCCCTTATATGAGGCTTTAAAAGGAAGAGGGGAAATAACCCTATCCTGGGACGAAATTTGTCAGGAGGCATTTGAAACTCTCAAGACTAAATCAGACCAAGCCGCTGAACTAAGACTGCCAGACCTGAAGAAGCCATTCTTCCTTTACGTTCACGAAAAAAAGGGAATAGCCTTAGGAGTCTTAACTCAAAAGCTAGGGTCGCTCCAACAACCTGTAGCTTACTTCTCTAAACAATTGGATTTCGTGGCACAGCGTTGGCACAGTTGTCTAAGAGCGGTGGCTGCCACTGCTATTTTAGTAAAGGGTGCCTTAAAATTCACCTTAGGACAAAGGCTTGAAGTTTTCACTCCCCATCAGGTGCAGAAAGTACTAGAGGTCAAGGGACGCTGTCTAACAAGGACACGGCTCACAAAATACCAGGCTCTACTCCTAGATACCCCGAACCTCACTGTAAGGACTTGCCAGACTTTAAATCCTGAAACCCTTCTACCCGTTACGGAAGAGAGGGACTTAGAGCACACCTGTGTGGAGACTAGACCAGGTTTATGTTATAGCAGGCCAGATTCACAGGATTAGAAGATTCAGAGGAAGAATGTTTCACCGATGGGAGCAGCTTTATAGAATGGTCACCTGGAAAGTGGGACATGCCATTTTCAGCCTAGATAAAGTAATGGAGACTAGGGCACTTCTAATACCTTGGCCAGAAGGCAGAACTAAGCCCTAATCAGGGCACTACAGTTAGGTTAAGACTCAACATTTACACTGACTCCAAATATGGGTTTCTAGTACTGCATGCCCATGCAGCCATCTGGAAAGAGCAAAAGCATAGCTAATTTTACTCCTAGAAGCTGTCCAGCTTCCTTCCCAACTTGCATTTATATACTGTAGAGTCCACCAGAGGGATAATTTTTCAATTAGTGAGGACAATAGTGGACTAGGCAGCTAAACAGGCTGCATGGTCCTTAATGCCAGAGTCCTCGCCCTAGCAATTGGAATGCCAGACTTTTCCTCTTACCCTAAGTGTACTGCAGAGGGAGAGAAGAAGCCAAGAAAGGGGAATGTAGCCTAAACGAATCAGAGTGGCTAATAGACGGCAATACAGGTACCTTCCCAGTCGAGGACTGGCACAGCTTGTGAAACACAATGCTTGCTCCCACCGCCTTATACCATCCCTATCTAGACCAGGCCAAGTGGCTACACAAT